TAGCTATTTCATAGCTAATTAGTGGCCGCATCTAGACGAGATGCTGACTGCGCAGTAGCTTGTTACTACTGCGCAGTAGCATCATGAACTGAGGCATGATGCTACCAAGCAGTAGTAACGAGCTCCTGCACAGTCAGCATCATCAACAAGCCATGCGGAGACACTACTGCACAGTCACATCGGTTACTGCGCAGGCATTTAGTATCTGAGTATGCACGTATTTGGGTATGTGCAGTAACAACTGTGCAGTCAGCGTCTCATGTAGATGTGGCCACTGAAAACTAAATGTCTCTCCACTATTGCTACAAAGTACATACAGAGACAAACTTTTGGTTCTATGATACTTCCTAAAGATTAAATGGACCTTTTATAGGATTATGAGGCTGGATCCAGACATGCAGGCCTGTGTGGTTTGTGGCACTGCAAACCTTTTTGCTGCGTCACAAACCACACATGTTGCACGTTAAACTGGGCCCCACACTGCTAATCTGCAGTGCTGGGGAAAAATCTGCTACTGGGATTTCCTGGTAGCCAAAAAAACTCCTGAGAATAAAAGCGCCGCAAAGCATGCTGAAGTGCTGCGTGCTGGGACAAACATGGAGATGGGCGAGCAGGCAGCCCAGGGCTACCTGCTCCCCTGTCTCCATGTGCTGTGGAGCCCCAGTGCCGAGGCACCATGTGCCCCAGTGAGCCGGGGAGCAGCTCATGGAGACAGGGGGGCAGGCAGCCCATGCTGAGGCACCCTTCGCCCCAACCAGCCGCTCCCCAGCTGGCTGGGGTGCAGGGTGGCTTGAGATGGGTGAGCAGGCAGCTCTGGGCTGGGTGCTCCCCTGTCTTCGTGTGCCTCAGTGCGAGGGCCCCATGTGCTGAGGTACATACAGCCCCTGTCTCGAGGCACCCTGCACCCCAGCCAGGCAAGGCAGTGGGCAACTGGGGCACAGGGTGCTTCAGTGCAGGGGCTCCGCGGTGCACAGAGATGGGGGAGCAGGCAGCTCTGGTCTGCCTTCTCCCCTGTCTCCATGTGTCATTCCCCGGCTGGTTGGGGCACAGGGTGCCTCAATGTGGGGGCTGCCTGCTGGCTACCCCTAAGCTGAGGCACCCTAGGCCCCAGCCAGCATCCACTGCAGCACACAGAGCAGCAGGACAATGTGTCCCATTGCAAACAGCATGTGCAGGGGCGTGCACTGCAGCACAAAGCAGCAGCACAAATTTGTGTCATCACTGTTTGTGCTGCTGCAAACACGTGCCCCTATTTGTGTGGACACAGCCTATGAGGTTAATCTGCGAGGAATCTGATGAGTTACCGTGCTTGCCTGCGGTTCCTTCAATTGAATTTTTCCTCAGAAAATTAACACATGAAGTGAATACGCTTTGTAACACAAATATTATGTTATATAAAAATGTTCCATGATACAAATGGCTTTTGAAGAAAAACTAGAGAAAAAAATTAAGAAACACACCTCTTCCAAAAATAACAATTTGTCTTTCTATAGTGCATCCATTTTATGTTCCAAAACACTTCACAAACTTGTGTGTTTTAGGCTTCCCAACACTTCCGAGCTAATGCAGCACTGTTTTCTATTCTACAGATAAAACGCTGACTCGGAGAAAGGCTACGTGAATTGCAAAATGATTACATAGGAAGCCTTACTCTTTATGGAACTCAGATTTCTTCTTACCGTACCTTATTCATATTTGACACATAGGAAAATCCTCCCTCTTAAAAACTACATGGATTCAAGTTTTCCCTTAATATTATCAGAAAATAATACAGGCGGGAGTATTTGATGAGGAATACATGATACTATTGAATGGATAGAATTTGAGCTGAGGTTCTTAATTTGGGCAAAACTCACATTTTAGTCAATAGAAAAGGCATTTGAACAAGGGCTGGCAACTATTAAAAAGTCAAAGCAGGAGAACTGGAAGTAAAGAGAACAGAAAGTCTGGGAGGAAATGTCAGCCCTTTGCTTACCTATCTCATTCTGCAGAGACAAGTTACGAGATAAGTTCCTAAGCAATGAGACTGCTGTCTTCTTTACGACTGGGTAGGTCACATGTAGCATATTTCGAATACTTGGAAGGCCGTTTGCCTTCCGGACAATGGTCTGGGATACTGCAAAAGGCATCTGTCAAACGGCATACAACTTTACTGAGTAATTAACTCACAGAACTGCAGAAAGTGTGTCATCTCATGTATAAGTACAACTGAGGTAGTGCAATTTCAGGTTTCTGGAGGATGTGTGCAACTTATTAGCCCAGAATCTGAGCTACATGCAATCTGCTATTTAAAAGATGGGTGATCAAAAGCCTTTTTAGTGGCACTTGATTCTGGGTCACCTGGCCAGTCTTTGGCATGCACCAGAAAAGGCTGATGACAAGAGAAACACCTTTAAAAATAACTTGTCTGCCAGTGTGCCAGACATTGTTTTCTATTCTGGGAGGGACTGTGGGATTTCATACAAAACCAATCACATGTTTACAGGAATACAAATGTCTTTACATATTTATTATACACACTGCTCCATTCTTGTCTGTCTCCTGTGATTAGCCACAAAAGGAAACACTTACACAGAGAGGCAACAGGCTCTTTATCTGTCAAACAAAAAGTAGCCACAATGCTGAGCCTGGCTTTCCCTACCTCAATATTCTTAAGTGTCTTTTTTATCTATCTTTTCTTTGAATTTGCAACTTCCCCCCTGGGAGTCAGAGCTCTGAGCTGTAAGCAGAGCACGCTGCAGCCCTAATCACTATGCTCCTAAATTGAAAGAAAAAAGAAAACACACAACTTACCAGTCCAGTACCAGCGGTGAGATTCTGGAGAGCTCCCAGGGATGCTTCTTGGGTGTAGTTTCTCGTACTTTTGGCTATTAAGGAGAGATATATCCTAATCAGTGTGGAGTGCCAAAGTGATTCTACACCTTTGGGATTGCTCTTTTCCTCAGGCAGCGGGGTGTCTTGTTGCTTCTGTACAGTTAAACAGATCAGACCTTTAGAAGTGGTAACATCAAATGCACTGCAGTCTAAACCTGCCATTACTGCAACTTTTTATAAAGCAGTCAGTGGGAATAGGCTACTTGACATAGCTGACTAGAGACAGATCTATTCATGGGAACTGTGTACAATATAGCAAGGTAAACCTGGATCTCCTTATTGCCATTTTCTATTTTAGTGGTGGAAGAACTTAAAAGAAATCCCAAATGGATAAAAAAATAAAAGCTGATAATCCTTTTCCAGGAAAAAAGGATCACCTCTGTATTTTCATCATCGTTATTATCTCCAGTTATCTGGGTCAAATTTATGTAGCTGGACACATGTACTGTGGTACAACAAATATGTACAGCACAGGCCCTGTGTGCATAGCTATTTCTAATAATCACACTGAAAAAATCAGAAGAAAACAAAGACCCCCCCCCCCCCAAAAAAAAAAAAAAAAGAGTAATATATTTCTAGGTGTGCCAGTCTTGATGTTCTGGACACAAACCCAGGGTGATTTTATTGTCTATTATTTTAGTGTTATTATTGGTAATAAAAGACACAGGGTTGGATGAATACTATAAGATCTCCAACCTAAAGAGCCGGAGCCTGGAAGCCCGTGGCCCACAAAGAGCCAAAAGATTGAGGCAGCAGACAGGTTTGAGAAGAAAGCTCCCTCTTGCAACTTTGCCAAAATCAAACAACTGCCTCTGCAAAACATTTTGATGTTAATAGATCAACACTCTTCAATGGAAAAACCTTTCATCAGAGAATTTCCAGCCATTCCAACTTACAAATGAACTGTGAAGCATAAATAAAAACGCATTTATGATTTTTGTTGCCTGCCTCAAAATCCGTGGAAGACAAAAAACAACTTGTAACTTACTTTTGTATATTTTTTATGTCTTTGAAATCATCTTTACTAAAGATACCCAAGAAGTCAGAATATCAGAGCATCATAAAATACACAAAATTTACATCGCAACCCATGCAAATCAATGATATTTTTGATATCATTGCAGCTTTACACTTGTTTGGAATGTTTTCAGTGAATCAGATAGTACCAAAAGGATCTTGGAGTGGGGCACCTTATTCTATGTCAATAATATGCATTATTCATACAGTCTCACAATTGTACAAAGCAAAAATCAATACTCCAGCGGGACTGATTTTGCATCCACTCGTAAATCAACACTAGCTCTGCAGAAATCAATGGATTTGCAAATTTATCAGACTGTAACAACATGCTTGGGAGCTGGTACTCTGAAAATTAGCTACACTGCCTCCTGGCACACTTTGTGAACCCAATCCACGTTTTACAAAATTTAATTATTTAATAATATAAGGCTGTCTTTAGCCTCACAAAGTGGGCTTGTAGCCAGTGTAAAGGGACTAAAGGGAAGATTCCATTTGGACATAAACTTAATCTCGCCCATGTTTTAGTTGCTGGGATCAGGGTTAGGGCTGAAGAAACTGAGGCATGGCTCAAAGTGCCTCCAGCAACAACAAAAAGCAGCCCTTAGGTATGCCACCTTTGTAGTGCTCTCTTGTGAATTTTGCCAGACACTGAAACCAAGGATCTGGCCACTAGTATCCAAAGCATCATGTACAGATGCAATGCGATCCTGCCACCTTTTCAGGAATGTGCTCCATGCTCCTGAAAAATAGACTAGCAGTATCCCTCTAGCAACAAAACCACTGCTTGCATATCTTTAAAAAAATTAATAACTGAATGAAGTAATTCTTAAAAAAAAAGGGTTCCTTGTAGACTTTAGACTTTCATCAATAGGATATCAGACATTACAATACTAGCATAAGTGGTTCACAAATACATATATATTGCCAAATAATATTTATTTTGAAATAAATTTGGCAGGGTCACACTACCAGTCAAGTTATTAAAAAAGAAGGACCCCAGGTCTGTCACCCCTGCCATGGGAATACTATTCAGCCACTAGAAATATCGAATGGCAATTCAAAGTAAAACTGATCCATACTTCACCTCTTTCACTTTTCTGCTGCGTATTCCAAAGCAACCAAGTTTTTTCTCATAAATGGGGATACTTCTTCTTTGCATGTAGATGTGCTGAGAGTAACTGCTGGGAAGCTCTGACTCCAGCTGGTAGGAAAGGTTGTGAAGAATGCACACACCATTCTCTGTGGCCTGTTATAATCAAGCAGTAAATGTCATTAAGGTTTTAGGTACGTATGCAAGAGACAAGTATGGACATGGGACAAGCATCTGACTTAGAATCTTATATGCCCAGACACGGTGGCCTAAGAAAAAACTAGATCATGGGCCACACCTCATATCTGGTTGGTGAGAGATTTTTTTTTTTAGCCTGTCAAGCCCTGTGGTGTCTCAGAAACTCAGAGGTGTTCATCTTGGAGATGGCATGAGCGCTATCAAATGCCACTGACTGTATGTCTTGGTGGTAGCATTGGATGCTGGGTGACAACCCTAGATTGAAGGGGAGCCAGCCCAATCTCTTCCTCCTCTCTGCCTGATGCACTAGTGCTCACTGGAGAGCAGCTTTGCAGCAGCCATAGGCTTCTCCTGAGAGAAGTGCTGTGCCACTCCTCCTTCACTCAGGGAGTGCCTACATGTGTATTTATGTGTGCTTAAACTTAATGCACCTTTGCTTAAGGAGCATTAACGCAATTTAGGCACGTGTCTATACACAGATGTGCTAATGTGCATTAAGGCACATTAACTTTTAGGTGTGATTAGCTAAATTGCATTAGCCCACATACAGATGTGTTAATATGCATTAAGCCTCTACACATGAGCTAATGTGATTTAACTAATTGCCCCTAAATTTGATACTTGCTTTATACAAGTGCCAAATTTAGGTGGGATTAGCTTAAAATTGCCATTTTTAAGGCATATTAAGGGCATGCATGTATGGGCATGTGCCCTTAATGCGCCTTAAAAATGGTCATTTTAGGCTAAATCTGCTTAAAAGAGGTATGTGTAGACATGCCCACAGGGAATGAGATTACACTCCAACGTGTGAACAGTATTGAGGAAAGGTTGTGGCCAAACCTTATTGGCATCAGACTGGTGAAATGCTGTCAGCAGTTGCTGGCTGTTAACATACACATACACGCACTTTTTTTTACATCTTCTCTTAACATGGCTGCAAAATACCCCTCATTTATGACATTAAACTACATCTAATGGGCTTAGTTCAGATGTCAGGGAAGCTAGGGTTTAATTGAAAAGGACCAAGTGATCAGAAGTTGCATGGAAGGCTACACTTATTAATCACAGTTTGGCATTGGAGGGAGGAGTAGACAACAGGTAAGATAAGGTTGATGGCAGTTCTATATGGCATTGCCACTAATCCCAGAAAGAGAATGAAGATACCAGAGTCTTTCAGAGGGGATGTGCAGCTTAGGTCGATTGCTTACCGAAAATGTGTGGGAGAGATGGGAAAAGTTACACTGTAGAGGGGACAGGATTCACAAGACATATGATCTCCTCTTTACCCAGAAAATGGAAGTCCTTGCTCACTCTCTGCACCCTTTGGTGTAGGGTCTATATAGATCTGCTATCTAGTGGTGGAATAATTAACAACTGTTGACATCACCTAGCCCACCTTAAAAATGAGGTGTGTTAATTAGGCCCCTTTCAGTTGTTACTGTAAAGTGCTCATATGATACAAGCATCCTTTTTGTTTTGATGTCTCACTGGCCCACTGATTTTGTGGGCTACTAAAGTCAACTGTAAAGGGTGGATACTGGAACAAGTGGTCTTAATACAAGTTCCTTTTTTTTTTGAAAGGTATGGGAGTAGAATACTTGTAATATGTCTCAGTACTGAATGTAGTGAGAGCTGCTGGTATAAAAGTTATCTTCCCTGACATTCACGGTACTGAATATTCCAGTTATAATAGTCATTGAGAAGACTTTGCCAAATATAAGTTTATGGTTTTTTTGTCAGTCATTCCTGAATATCTGTGTTTAAGAATGGCTTGGGCTTCCACTCCCTCCTCCCTCTTTCCCCCCTCCCAACATGCTTTCTTTCTGAAGAATCACCTTGTTATCAGGCTGATGGTCTGCAATAGTTCCTTGGATGTAATAAACAAGAGAATCAATCAAACCATCACATTCTCTCATTTTTTTCCTTCCTTCTGGGCCAGCAGAACTCATGTTTCTGTGCAGAAAGAAAGACATTGGTAAGAAAACATGTGTTATAGATTGCTTTTCTTCCACCTCAGCTAAGTTTTAGGAAAGATACTGAAGTTGTTGGTCTCTTTGCTGTAGTCACAAGATCATCTAAAAATGATCAAATAATACAAGCCTCTGCTAACTCAAGCTGCCATCTTAAAACCTCTGAGCACTCCTTGACAATAACATAGGCAGCAGGAGGAGAGGTGAACTTGCATGGATAAAATAAGTTCTGAAGAAATCTTCACCCAAAAGTTCAACTGATATTTTCTTAGAGTTTGCATATACCGCATAGACTTTTTCTGCCTTCCATTTCCAAAGTTTGCCACAGAACAATTTTATATTTGCCCAGTTAAATGTCATTCATTTTAGAGTCTCAATTTTATGGGACCCAATTGCATATAAAACTTACAACTTCATCTATGCTTCTGTTGCCTTGAGACTAGACTATTCTAATGTGTGCTATGTGGGGCTGCCCTTGATGACCATCCAGAAACTGCAGCTGGTGCAGAACATGGTGGTCCACTTTCTAATGGGAGTGGTCTCCAGTGCTCCAGAGTCTGTACTGGTGACAAATAGCTTTCCAGGTGCAATACAAGGTGCTGGTTTTGATCTAGAGAGCCCTAAATGATCTGGGCCCTACAGACTTAAGGGACCACCTTCTCTCATGTCACCTTGATCCCTAAGGTCATTTAAAAGTAACCTCCTGCAAGTAACATCTCTGGGCCAATTTTGCTGGGCCAAAAACATGAGTGGTCATTCTTGTAGTAGCTTCTCTGCTTGGGAACTCCTTTCCCCTTGTGGTCTGCCAGAGCCCTAGCCAGCCTTGGAAAACCTTTTTGGACAGACATTTTGCAAGTAAGGTTAAGTTGGGGGTATTATTTGAAGAGTATTTTCATTATGCAAGTGTGTGTATACACACACACACACACACACGCACACACACATGCACACAAACATGTTAGGGCTGTGCGAAGCTTTGGGTGCTGATTCGATTCAGAAGAGATTGGGTCCGATTCAGTGGCCAAAACTCTAAATCCAAATCGAATCGAATCAGGGGACCAATTAAAAAGTTCAAATTGATTTGAAGCTCTCCGCATTGCTTCAGAAAGCATTCGGAGACCTTCTGCGATTTGGGCAGTTCCTGCTGGCTACAGCAGGGAACTGGACCCAGACTCCAAGCTGGTAAGTAGGGGGCAGGGGAGGGGGCACTGGAGGTGGGGGAAGGGAACCATGGGGGGATCCCTGCCAGGCCCCATCCCCTACCTGCTCTCTCAGCCCCTCTGAGCGCCCCTCAACCCCCGCAAGCTCTCCCAGCTCCCCACATGGCTGCCCTGCCCAGCCCCAGCTCCTGGTTGTTTAAAAAAAAGCCCTGACTCACCAGGTGCTGCCAGGTGCTGGGGGGGGGGGGCGCAATCCCTGCTGCCCCCACTGGCCCATGCTGCATGGGATGCTCTACTATGAACCCCCAACCCCTGCCTGCTCTCCCAGCTCCCCCATGGCTGCCTCACCTGCCCCAGCTCCCGACCCTTTAAAAAAAAACACCCCAAAATACCCCAGACTCACTGGCTACTGCAGCAGCCTTGGGGCTTCTGGGGGCTCATGACAGAGCCCCCCATGCAGCTTGGGGCAGTGGAGGGCAGCAGGGATGCCCCACCTGACTGGCAGCACCCGGTGAGTGGGGGCTTTTTTTTTTCAAAGTACAGGGAGCTGGGGCAGGTGGGGCAGGCATTGACAGGGCTGGAAGAGTGGGCAGGGGATGGGGCCTGTCTGATTTGGAGATTCAGCTGATTCGGCAGCAGCCAAATCTCCAAATCAGATTCGGCCGAATTGATTTGGGACAGTGATTCGAATCACCAGATCGAATCACTGTCCCCCAAATTGGCTGAATCTGAAGCGAATACTAGCTGCTTCACACAGGCCTTATATACATGTATAAAATTTCCTATTTTATCAGCTTTTATACGCCTTTTTGGGGGGAAGGGAGGAATATAAACTTAATAAATGAATAAACTTTAAGAAATATTCATTTCTATTATTGAATGTGGTCTGAATTAGAGAATGCTGAAGCCATAAATCTAAGCCTCATTACTGAGGCCCCGGGCAGCTCTTGTGGCTACAGACTATATGCCATACCATGTTTCATGTTCCTTGTTTGAAAATAACATTCAGTACATCCTGATATCAGAGCTTGTCTCAAACAGAGAAACAAACAAAAAAATCCTTTAAAATTAGCCATTCAAAATAAACACGGCCAAACATTTAGAGCCAGCAGGCTGCAAATTATGGTGGTTTAGAGTTCTGTTAATGACAGGTAGCTGATGGGTTATGGGTTCAAAAGCCTCCTTGAGTTCACATATAATTAAATGGACATGATGACTTATAAGCTCTGTTTTCTTGAGGGGGTTTTTGTTGTATTTTTGCCTGTGGTAGCATTCACTTGGATATTATATTATAACTTTCATTTTACTTGATGTCATATTTGTTCTTAGTATTCATATTTATAAAATTATTTGCGCTTATGATATGATACAAAGTAGAATTAAAATCAATGTTATTCCCAGGGACTACCATTGCTTTGCAATTCACCCCAAAAAGGGCCAGGATGAAAGTCCTTCAGGGAATACCTGACATGGTGAGTGGGTGGGTATATCAGCTTTGCCCTGAGAACAGTTGGTTGAAATCACAGTCTGCAAGGAG